AAGTAAGTGTATTAAACTTCGACACTATCATGTAACCCTAGCTACTCCTAACGTGCTCTACTACTGCCAAAGCTACTTAACTCCCACACTTGACAGAGCTTGCTGGTGGTTTTAGGGTATTTTTGTATAGTTGGCAGTCTTATGATGTCAATTCAGTGTTAGCTTGCATGTAACGTTCTTATTTCGACTATTTTTTAGTGGTTTCTTGAGCATGATAATAATACAAAACCACATTTAACAATGTATTTTTCAACAGTGGTTATTTTTATGGCTTAAATTGTGACTTTACCCCTTTGTTTTCTATTAAGCTTGGAGAAGAATATGGAGAACCATGCTGTCCTTGGAAAACCATGGACAGCAGCATCAGTGGTCAGTGATAACCACAAGACTTAGCAGAAGGCAGATGTGTATGTGTTCACTGCCTGTCCTAGGAAGATAATAATGGAAAATAATTGCCATGTTCGAGTTGTTCATAAACTCATAACTAAGTTTGTCTGCATGTACTGCGCTGGATAAAAGTAAATTCAATGAGAGCAACACGATTACTGGCTCTAAAAATATTTCAGTGAGGAGGACACTTTTTCACTCAGATGAAACTGAGAGCATGTTTTGCTTGTTAAACTGTACAAAAATGAGCTCATGGAGATGCCCAGAGGTGGCTATGTGGTCAGTTCGGTTGCTCAAGTGCCCAGAAAGGAGCAAATCTCTCCATCTGGTAATGGCCACAGGCTAACTGAGCTTGCTACGGCTATACAAATAGTTTAATTCCATAAAGCAGCTCCTTTAACTCTGTCTTAATTAATTTCTCATAATCGATAAACTCCAATTTTTTGTCTTCAGCTCATTAAAATTTACCTCCAGAGTAGCTGGTGGGTGTGTCTGTCCATGATGGCCAATCAGAGCTTTATATGTTCTACCATGTTTTCTATCACTGTACAAAAGAAGCCCCACGCTGCGTTTATAGGTGGTTGCACAGCCGTTGTTTATGAGCAAGTGTGCATAAGGGGTTACATATACTGTATAAACACTTATATGCATGATTAAAGGGTTCTTTGCATCGAGAAGTGGTTCTTCAGATTGATGGAGAATATGCTGTGTATGGTTCTATATAGAACCTATGAAAATCTATGTAGCACCAAAAATGGTTCTGCTATTGTTACAATGTCAAACTTATACCCTTAAAAAAGACGGTTCTTCAAGGGTTCATTAATAAAGAAAATGGTTCTATATAGAACCATGAACATTCATAGAAGCATTTGCATGATTAGAGGGTCCTTTGCATCATGAAAGAGTTCTTTAGGTTGATGGAGAACGTGTTGTGTATGATTCTATATAGAACCTTTATGAAAATGGTTCAGTATAGCACCAAAAATGGTTCTGCTATTGTTACGATGTCAAACATGTATACACTTAAAAAGACGGTTCTTCAAGGCTTCATTAGTAAAGAAAATGTTTCTGTATAGAACCAAGAACTTTCAAAGAATGATTTAAAGGGTTCTTTGCATCATGAAAGGGTTCTTCAGATTGATGGAGAATGCTCTATATATAGTTCTATGTAGAACCTTTTGGAAAAGGCTTCTATAAAGCACCCAAAAGGGTTCTTTTATTGTTGCAAGCTTGACATTGTAACAATAGAAGTATGCATTTTGATGCTATGCAAGTGTTCCTGGTTCTATACAGAACCATTTTCTTTACTAAAGAACCCTTGAAGAACCATCTTTTTCACAATGTAACAATAGACAAACCTTTTTGGTACTATATAGAACCATTTTCACAAAGGTTCTACATAGAACCATCAACAGCACATTCTTAAGAACTCTTTAATCATGCAAGAAAACCTTAATCATACGAATGCTTCTTTGAACGTTCAAGATTCTGTGTAGAACCATTTCCTTTACTAAAGAACCCTTGACAAACCATCTTTTTTAAGAGTGTAAACAGAGAAGAACCTTTTCAGTGCTATATAGAACCATTTTCATAAAGGTCCTAAATAGAACCATACACAATACATTCTCCATCCATCTGAAGAACCATTTCCTTTACAACCAATGTCCTTTACATTGTGCATACATTTCACAATGAATGGATCTATATGGATATCAAGTTTGAAATGCTCCAAAATTACTTGGAATAAAACTTGACTTGGACTCTTTATTTGGATGGTCCCCTGTAGATGATCTACAGATACCTAAATTATTAACAAACTTTCCACTATACTCAGTTGAGTCTCAACAACATTAAGGTTAGGAGTAGGTTTAGGTTTAGGGTTGAAGTTAAGGTTAGGTTTAGGGTTAGGGTTAGATTTAATATATTCTTTCAGACTCAATATCAAGTTCAGTTGCATTTCATTGATATTTAGATGAATGTTAGTTAAAGACAGACCGAGTAACTACAAAGCACCTACAGTGGACCGTCCAAATAAAGTGTTACCAAACTTTTTTCCATTGACTTGCATTGAAAGTTCAGACCATTTGCTGCATCCTGTATGTTTATTAGTGGTAGAACATAACAGTAATGTGCTGCTGTCAATAGGTAGTCTTGTGAAAATACATTATAATGGTATCACTGTAAACAAACATTAAAAGACGAGCGCTGGCAACATCTGAGAGATTCCCTTCCCAGTGTTTAAGCCCAATGGATACAATTTAAAAGGCTTTCAATCTGCCATGCTTCTGTATGTACAGTATCAAATGTCATTGGATGAAATTCAACAACAGCTAACAAGCAACTGTGAATGCGGTGTTCAGTGCCAGCCCATGCAGCTCATTTCGACCGACTGTGCATTTATAGGGCGTAATTAAACGATTTCACCATGGCCAGCTTGCGGCATTCTTATATCAGCTCTACTTTTCCCCCACTGGAATGCATCTCACTTATTTGAATGCCCAAAGCATTCTCAGTAATGGAAAGAGTCTGAGCTAATGTGTTTAATGTCACAGCCCAAATAGACGGCCGTGCTGTATCTACAATGTACAGGATTAGATGGACTCAAAAGGGTTAAACATCTGCACTCAGAAGAATCATTTCAGTGTGAACACGCACAGCCACACTCATACATACTTTAAGGGAACCGACCACTGATTGCTCACTTCAGGCTGTGCTTTTTGAAGGGGATTAAGAGTGAAGGATTAGAGGCTTTTAATATCTTACACGTTCACGGGAAATGATAGGCCTCGTCGAGGAGGCATCCGGGCAATCATCTCGCTCCGTCTTGACTAAAGACGACGGACCCCCACACACATACACACTCAAATACCCCCAAACGTACACGCCCAGCTCAGCCTGGGATGCATAAGCTGACTAATGCCAATCTTCCCCTGCTTCCTGGATCATAGTCAACTTAAAGAGCCTGTTTTGTGGAAAACTAAGTTTTCCTTACTTTTTTAAAGAACGATGCAGGATGTAAACATTGGTAATGTTTCGAAACATACACAGTTCATACGATAATGAAATTAAGACACAATTATGACATTGTGATGTCATAAAGAAGCAACTCATTTACATATATAAGTCTATTTAGGCTACAGTTTAGCCCCATTCATAGATTTTGATGTTATAATGAGTGTTTCAGCCTGGACTGCTCTTAAAATGAGGCACAATACTGGGCCAATCAGAACAAGAGTTATTTCCATATATCAGTCTTAAAGGCACAGGTTGAAAAGTGGCTATTTTTTTGCTCTTTTGCTATCCAAATGATGTCAAATGATAAAATACACATAATTCATTTTGTATTATTATTTAAAATGATATGTTTATGAGAAATCCAAATTCGTCTTTTAAAAAAATATATTTTTAGGGGTTCCTTTGCATTTTGTTGCTATATGGCAACAGCATGTAACAATGGAACTGCAATCTACAATCTGCAATCTAATCTTATGGCAAAAGTACATTGCCATAAAACACTACCACATTCAACATCTAGGCTTAAAGGCAACACTGTGTGTATTAATGGCCATCAATGCATAAGACTGTTTTTTTTTCATACACAAAGAAGTATGGAAGTAATTTATTAATATAATGTGTCCTATGAGTGTATTAATTTACATACACTGTGCACAGCAGATTGCAGTTGGCATGCTGTTGCCACATGGCAACAATCATATTTTATGATTTTATCAAATTTAAACTGGTTTTATTTATGAAAAAGGCATTTTTCGCATTTTTCTTTTCTCCATAATTTAAACATGGAATCTTCCTTCTCATTGTATGAAAAATTCATGATGAATAGACTAAAAGAAATCCTCCCCAAATTCTTGAAATGAAATTTCTTTACATTACAAGTTAAGAACCTTGTTGCTTTCTCATCTAAAATGACTATTTATTTATTTATTTAGTTAGTTAGTTAGTTAGTTTTCTTAGTTTACTTTTCTCAGAAACTGAAAGAATGACATTCTAAATAAATGAATGGTGGTCTCTGACTTTTACACAGCTCTGTAAATGTTTACAAAATGTATACAGGGCGTACTTCTAACCCCACGTCCTCACATTGTATAAAACAAAAGCTGTGTGTGTGAGAGACAGAGAATGTGTTGTGGCCTCGTGTTCACTCCTCCTTCAAAGGGAGTCTTCAAGAGACTTTGTCCCCAGGCCTTAGGTCCTTTCCTCTCAGCCAGGATGTACCAGGTCCTGCCCATCTGCACGGTCATTTCACTGATGCCCCGAACTGTGTGTGCGCGTTCACATGTCACAGAGGGATCAAGGATTAATTGCCTGTTGAGATAAACTTAACAGCGCGCAGCGAGAGCTGTTCTGACTCCTCGTTTGTCCGAGGGGTAGAAAACAACACAGTTGCGTGACTGAAGCTTTAACATTTCATTACTTTTCCAGAGGTATGCTCTTTCAAGGAGTCCTACAAAGTCATGCAACTCTGCTGAGGTTAACTTGCTGTGTAGCTTTTTGCTTTTAACTCTGTGCTTCAGTCTCTCTCTCTCTCTCTCTCTCTCTCTCTCTCTGTCTCTGGCTTTCTCTACCTCTCACACTATCTTCTCTCTCCGTCTCAGGTGAGTTGCTACAGGCTGCTCCAGAAGGACAGCGCGCCATGGCTGACAACAACATGCAGAAGAAGAAGTCTCGCTGGACGTCGCTGGAGATCGGCCTCTTGACCATCGTGTCCCTGCTCTTCATCGTTGTGGTGGCCCTCATTGTCCTCTTCGCTACGCAGAGCAGCAGCGGTGAGTGCACGCTCGGAGACAGTCAGATTTCCTGGCAGCCGCTGCTCCGGAGCTTTTCCGGTCCCTTACCCACTGAGATGAATTTCAAGGCAACTTTGCCGGGATATTAGCAGGATTAGGGGGGGGAGGCTTACATTCCCAGAAAGCAGCAAATCCCCTTGAACAGCAAGGAATTTGCTGTCCAGCGTGACTTCCCAGTGTATTTTGTTGGGTTTTTGAAAAAGTGAGGAGAAAGTCAGCAGAGCGTGGCGTGTACAGGAGGTGTAAGGACAGAAGAGGGAGCAAAGGTCTGAGCATCTGCTTGCTAGTGTTGCTGGATTACACAAGCACACAGTGTAGTAGCTTGTGGTTACCTGTGCAGCTGCTGTCAGGCAGGATTTTTGCCCTTATGTAGTCCCCAAATGTAGTTGGTCAGTCAAGACTTGTTTGGTGTCTAACATTTGATTCACTAGTTTTGAATTGGAACTACAAGTCTAGTGTAGCTAATAATTTATGGATGGTTATATTTCACATATAATTTGAAGAGGGAAACCCTCACAAATGGCTGAACACGTTCTGAGAAGTAATAAATACGTCTTGTAATTTAATTCAATGGAATACTTCTTGTGATTTGTTCTTCCTTGTGGTACTTTACACAATATAGCTAAACGAGCTCTCCTACTGGTTAAGACTTCAAATGCTAAAGAAAAGGCCTCACATGTTCAATTAACCATAAGCATAATTACAAATTGGCAGAGGAATCAATTCAATCACATTTTTATTTCCAATGGATGGGACCTTTTTAGCACCCGGACTGAAAAAGCAGTTTAGCACCCGGACTCTTTTACTACAAAGCCATGCTGTTGTAATACATGCAGAATGTGGTTTGACATTGTCTTGCTGAAATAATCAAGGTCTTCCCTAAACAAGACGTCATCTGAATGGCAACATATGTTGCCAAAACATGTATTTATCATTCAGCATTAATGGTGCCTTCACAGATGTGCACGTCACCCATACCATGTGCACTAATGCACCCCTATACTATCATGAATACTGGCCTTTGAACTGTGCACTGATAACAAGCTGTTATCTTATAAACACTAAAGAGTGGTCTTTAGCCCAGAGGACACAGTGTCCATGATTTCCAAAAAGAATTTCAAATGTTGATTTGTCAGACCACAGGACATTTTTCCACTTCCCCACTTTTTAAATTAGCTCAGGCCCAGAGAAGGTGGCAGCATTTCTGGGTTCTGTTTATATACGGTTTCTTCTTTGCGTTTTAGAGTTTTAACATGCATTTGTGGATGCAGCGACGAACTGTTTTCAGAGACAATGGTTTTTTAGAAATGTTTCTGAGCCCATGCAGTGATTTACACAACAGAATCATGTCTGTTTTTAATGCAGTGCCACCTGAGGGCCCAAATATTATGGCCAGCAAATACTGTTTTTTGCCTTGTCCCTTGTCCCTTGAGATTCTCTGAATCATTTAAAGTTATTATGTACTGCAGATGATGAAAAGCAAAAGTTCTTTGCTAATTTACATTGAGAAATGTTCTTCTTGAATTGTCGCACTATTTGATCATGCAGTCTTTCACAGAGTGGTGAACCCTCCTCATCTTTACTTCTGAAAGACTCAGCCTCTCTGGGATGCATTTTCATACCCAATCATGTGACTGACCTGTTGCCAATTAACCACCAGGTGTTTTTTTTAGCATTACACAACTTTACCAGCCTTTTGTTGCCCCCGTCCCAACTTTTTTGGAACGTTATCAAATTCAACATGGGCACAGATTTTTCAAATAAACAATAAAATTTCCCAGTATCAACATTTGATATGTTATCTTTGTGCTATTTTCAATTAAATATAGAGTATAAATTATTTGCACATCATTGCATTCTGTTTTTATTCACATTCTGCACAGCGTGTAATGGGGTTATACAAAAACAACATTTATCAAGTACTGAAACTGAGAAAATTGTTTTTTTGAACATATATAACTATTTTGAATTTGATTCCAGCAACACATTTCAGAAAAGCTGGGGCAGGGCGACAAAAAACCTGTTGTGTAATGCTTAAAAAAGAAAAACCAGGTGGTTAATTGGCAACAAGTCAGTAACATGATTGAGTATAAAAAGAGCATCACAGAGAGGCTGAGTCTTTCAGAAAGAGATGTAAAAGACTGCGCAGACAAATAGTGCAACAAATTTAAAATAATGTTGCTCGACATAAGATAGAATCAAACTTGGTGATTTCATCATCTGCAGAACATAATATCATTAAAAGATTCAGAGAATCCAGAGAAATCTCTGTATGCAATGGACAAGGCTGAAAAACAATACTGCCTGGCCATGATGTTTGGGCCCTCAGGTGGCACTGCATTAAAAACAGACATGATTCTACAGTGGAAATCACTGCATGGGCTCAGGGACACTTTGGAAAACCACTGTTTGTGAACACAGTTCATAACAATCTGCCTGAACTGTTCTTTCAGTCACATCTCTGCTGACCCTGCTCTTCATGCCTTTGCTTAAAGATGCCAGAATTCAATAAATAGCATTCCTTTTCTTACATTTAAACACCATAGCTTGGCAAAAAATTGAACTGACACAATTCTCTTTTCACCACAAAAGTGGCCAATCAGTGAAGACATTTGGTGTCTAAAGTTTTTTCTTTCTTTTGAGGTGTTTTAGGATGAGTTGATGAGGTACTGAGGAATAGAACTGATTGTTGGAAATTGTTCAGGCTATTCTAGGCTGTACAGACCAACAATGTTGGGATAACCAATAAAGGACACCCTCAAAGTCATTAAAAGTCAGCGATTGACCTATTGGTTCTGGGAGGACCTACTCTACTAGAGAATGATTCAGTACAAATACATAGTAGAGAATGTTTCTATAGATGGAAACTATATTTAAAATATAATATTTGTGGATATACTTTCTTGAATCATTAATCACTAAAAATGCTATTTCTAGCTTGTGGCAGTTCTTTCCTGTGCTTTCCCACACCACTCCAAAATGTTATAAAAGTGGAAACTTTCCTCAAAAGCAATTTCCAAATTTGACATCTTACTCTGTACTGGGCAGACAAGCAATTTTCCAGCAATGTCAAAATGTCTGCAGTGTCAGATTTGGAAATCGCTTTTCTAAATGGTTCAGCTTAAAAATGACTGCTATTTTTCTGTGCAATGTGCTGCCTTGAGATGAGATGCGTAGTCACGTTTTTATTTTCCTTAATGCTTGTCTGACTCTTAGTCTCTTGCTTCTTGTCAGGCCATAAACAATCTGTTCTTAGATTGATAGCCTGAATAAATAAAACTTTGATGAATAAAATCAAGTTCCAGGCAGTTCTCAGCAGCTGTGGAGATTAAGCCTTGTCCTAAATCTCACTCCTCTGTCATTATCCTATGGGATAAATGTTTAAACAGAAAGGCAGAATACACAGGGATGGAGATGATCTCCATGCACGGTCTTGTCCTCCCATGCTTGGCTGGGGGTGAGAGGGCAGGGGGGAGTTGGAAGGTAAGACTAAATTTAAGAGGCTAAATGCAGAGCTGTAAAGGAAAGAGTGGGTATTGGAAATGGGAAAAGGTTGGGAGTGGGAGAATGGGAACAGATAGGGAATAAGGGAATGAGAATGCAATAGGGAATGAGGGAATGAGTACTGAGACTGGGGATGGTAGTGAGTGAATGAGGACTGGGAATGAGATTAGGAGTGGGAGAATGGGGACTAAGACCAGGATTGGGTGTGAGAGAATGAGAAGACTGGGGACTGAAACTGAGGACAGGAGCAAGAGAACAGGGACTTGGATTGGGAGTGAGGGATGAAGACTGAGACTGGAAATGGGAGTGAAAGAATGGGAACTGGCGATGTGGCAAGGGGTGGGAGACTGGGGCCTGAAATTAAGAGTAGGAACGAGAGACTGGGGATGGGAAAAAGGGTTGGGAGCAAGAGAATGGGAACTGAGAATGAGACTGAGACTAGGAGAATGGAGACTGGAATTGGGAATGGGAGCAAGAGAATTGTGACTGGAAATTGGGCTGGGAGCAAGAGAATGGAGACCAAGATTGTGACTGGATGTGAGAGAATGAGGACTGGGAATAGATTTGGGAATGGTAGAATGAATACTGGGAATGGAGATGGGAGTGGAAGATTAGGAGCGGGGTTTGGAGGTAAACGGAATTGCAGGAATGGAGTAGAGAGTGAGGATCAAAGGGATTAAGATGGACCAAAAGGATAAAGTTGGGGCAGTCAGAATGAGGCAGTTGAGTTGAGGCAAGGGTAGAGGACTGTGGACTGAAAGGGCAGTAACTCGGTATTTCAGTTGTGTAACAAGCACTGATTTTGCCAGGTGCCTCATGCCATATAATAACACGCTATAAGTTACTGCCAATTAAAATGTTGGGAATGTGGGGAAAAAACATTCCTAATAGCCCACGGCTTGATTGATTGTTGTGTCACTGAGGAGCCTGCTTATTCATGATCATAATTCATAGAGCATGATTAGGGGTTGCACTAAATTATTAATGTTTTTCAAGAACATTGCCTACTCAGCATTGTACATTAACTCATTAGCCCTCTGAAGCACTAACCCCTTGCATGTTTTGATCTATTGTAGGTGGTGTTTGCACTACAGCTGACTGCACACAGTCAGGTAAGCACATTTTGCAAACTTGCGCAAACACTTTAAACACAAATAAAGCCTAGTATGACACGTAAAGATATATGCATGGGAATGAAATTAGACTTAGGAGCATTCTAATGTGGTCAAGCAAGCACTTGAGATTTTGGACTTTGAATCTCGGGAGAAGGGGTAATGGTCAGCTAGTACATTTAAAAGGATTCTTTAAAAAGATGGCACAGTGCTACACAGTTTAACGTTTTCCAAGCACACAGCTTACATCTCAACACCAAGAACCTGAAAAACAACTTGCAATTTTGGGAAGAATGTTCTTGACAAGCTACCTCACAAAAGTGAACTCACGAGAACAACAGAGAACACATCTATAAGAGCGGGCTCATGTGCAAAGATACACCGGGCCCGGCTGATTTCCTCTTGACGAACAAACTGTCATATTAGCCGTTGTTTGTACCAGAAAGCAAAATTCTGCAGAATTTAGGCAGATTTAGGTGCACCTGTTATATAAAATATGAAGTTAAAGTTTGAAGTATTGGTCAGAACCCCTTCTTCCACCACACTGTTAGATATAAAGGTTCTGTGCAGGTACATTTTTCATTCATCAAGATACAAACAATGTAACTGTACCCTCAAAGATACAACAGTGGTTTTAAGGTCCAATTATGTACCTTAAATAAAGTTTTCCCAGGTGAAAAGTACATATTTGTACTATTTTATAACAATATTTTAAAACAGAACAATAAAATAAAAAGCCGGGAGACGAGACGGGGTGTGTGGAGTCAGTACAACTTAGAAAATATAAATTCATGGTTTCCAATTCGTTCAATCCAATTCATGGATTGTGGTACAAATTTGTTCCATGACTAAAGGTACTGACATGTACCCTTGAGTGTACCACCCACTGGCAAGAGGGGGACGGCCCCAGTGATGTACCTTTATTTCTGAGAGTACATGACATCAATGAATTTAGGACATTAAATTTGTTCTTGTTGGCAAGTCACCGAATAGTCTTAAAGGGCCTGTTTAGGGCTAAGGTTTAGTTGGCTCAGAGTTTAAATGAGGATCAATGCTTTCTTTGGTCTTATTCACATATTCTCAGTCGTTCCTGAGAACATGTTCTACACTGTGCTGAAACCTTCTAGGATAGCATTCTGAGAGCCCTGCTTTAATGTGTCTTTGGCATTACAGCATCCCGTCTCATTGAGAACATGGACACTTCAGTTGACCCATGTGAAAACTTCTACCAGTATGCCTGTGGAGGCTGGCTGAAGAAGAACATCATCCCTGAGACCAGCTCACGCTACAGCACCTTTGACATACTCCGGGACGAACTGGAGGTGGTGCTCAAAGGTACAACCCCTCTTATGGTGAATAGAAGCCAGTGATGAGTCCACAGCATTGTCCTCTCTGAACAAATACCAGCTGTTATGAGTTTCACAGTGACATCTGGAACCAGTACAGTTTTATTGTGGAACTGATGAAAGCCAAACACAGATTTGCCGGGTCAAAATGTAGATGCTATCTTGTGGTCAGGAGAAAAGGAAGCAAATTAAATTCAGGAAAGAGGAATTGGATACTGAAAATGGTAATAAGCAAAAATTGCTATTCATTAGAACGAGTTTGATACAGGTCATACTGTATATTTAAGCTTTACTTTATATGCCCATCTTGTATTTAAGGGTCTTGTTGGGTTTATGGGTGAAACGGCAGTGAGTGGTTTGCTGGTTTGGACAGATGCAAGTTTGGACCATTGCTTTGGTGGCTTTTGGCTTACTAAGCAATTTGATAGACCATAGTTTACTGCAAGCTAATTTATTTATGGCACAGTGGACCTCTGTTTGGGTCACGGGTCTCAGAATTGTGCTTTGCTTTAAATATTCTAAACCCTCTATAAGCATACATCTAATCAAACAAACCTGTCCTTATGATAGAGCAGATTCTGAGCTGAATCTTTATCCATTACTTCAGATGTAGGCCTCAGAGGGGGCTCCTGCCCCTGATCTGTTGCCCTCAGACTGTACAAGTGCCCTCTTGGTTGGCATGTATGATATTTGTGTTTTATATGGCCGTTCTTCAAGACTTGTTTCAGCAAGACAAGGCTCAGCATCACCTAGAAATAGAGCTTATGGGGTTGACTCTGGTTCCATGAGCTTCATTGCTGCTGGTGCAGTACCAGATTTAACTTAAATCAACTCTGACCAGCCATGAATCACCACAATGTCACACTTCCTGAAAGACCCCAACAACACATTTCCCAAGACAGTCAGATATATATGCCTGTTATAACATTGACATATTGATTTCTAAACTGGACCAGGTCCAATGCCTGTCCACTGCATTTAGACAAAAAGCATACAGAGCACAAAACTAGAGCATTGACAGAGCCTCTGTGTGATTGCTCAGCAGGAAGAGCAGGGGTCTTTCAGCACATGGAGATGGGGCAACCATGCCAGAAGGACCAAGAGGTTGATTAACCCCAGCATGAGGCCTGATTAGAAGCATGGTCCTGGTGCAACCCAGGGAGAGGAGGGTACATGTGGTAGTGGAGGGCTTTGGACTGTGTGGACTGAGCAAAGCTCGAAGTAGCAATAGCTCTGGAATTGGGCTGATAATAGGTTTTTGGAAGAGACCCATGGTAGTGCTTTCTAACAATGTAACAATGATGGACAGATACCTCTAGAACAGTGGCCAGTATCTATATATTTTTACAATGGTGTACACTCTCAGTCCCGTCCTTGTCTGTTGGGTAGATGGCTTTTTATCATTAATAGATTATCTTTAACAGCCTACAATATATTTGTTTTTATCTAACATCACATTTTGTTTGTGGTGACAATGCATTTGCCAATTATTTTCAGATATAACTGGGTAAAATCAAAGAAAATGCCCCCTAAAGTGGAAATGCCTACTTGAAAAGTCTTCTGGTGTTCTGAACTCCAAGTTCAGTACATGACCTCAAATCAGCTTGGCTGCTCACACCGTCATAAAGTACTAAAGTCATAAAGTAATGAAGTAATAAAATGCACTTCTCTAATATTCACCAAGACTTGCTTTGAATCAATCAACATACAGACACAGTAGATGGTTAAATCTATAACACTGACCAAAAAGTTTGCTGTTTTAAGAAGGAAAATACATCATGAATGTGAAAGTTATGATGCATATCACGTTATATAACGTTAGCTGGCGAGCTTTTTGCTAACAATACTTGTTTCATGGAGGCATCTCCACTTAGTAACTTGAATGTACAGAGGTTGAGAATGATGTAATTCCAAGCTCTGACATCCCACTTCCACGTACATAATAGCATGTTGTCTTTAGTGGTCAGTAAAGGCTACTATAGATGACAAGGGGCACCACATACAATCTCCATAGAAAAGCAATGGCAATAGAATGTGACCCTGACACCTGCATGTGTACCTGCACATGAGCCTAAGGTTACAATGCCCAATGCCAAGGCCTCCAGCATTGGGCTGTGGAGCAGTGGAACTGCAATCTCTGGAGTGATGGAGCTCCATCCAATACCTTTGGGATGAGTTGGAGTGATCCAGAACTGATCATCCCGACATCAGTATCTCACAGCACTTGTAGCTTAGTGCAATCATATCCTCACAGCCATGTTCCAATGTCCACATTAAAGCCTTATCAGAACCATAGAGGCTGTTACTGCAGTGAAGAGGGGGGGCAAACTCCCTATTAATTCCCTTGATTTCAGAAGAAATGCTGGAGAAAAACACACGCACGTTTTCTAAGCCGCTTATCCTTCTGGGTCACGGGGGCTGGAGAAGTAGGCATCTACCAATCTTCTGGGTGTATAATATATGTCTGCAGTAATGTCCACCCACCCTGGTCCTAGAGGTCTACCTTTGTGTTGAGTCTAGTTCCAATCACCATCTACCACACGTACTCCAGCACATTTGCTTCTTCGGAAGGCCTTGATTGGATCAGATGCATTGGAGTTTGATAAATGGGAAGTAGCATGTTAGATGTAGCTTGGAACTAAACTCTACTGGAAAGTAGATCTGCAGGAAGAGGGTTGGTGACCACTGGTCTACTCTATATATCCCAAAAGGTTTGTGTATACTGTAGTATATGTCTGTTCCATTACATCTGCCTTGTATACCCTTTTCACGTTCTTCATCCTTTTGCCTTTAGCTGACCTGTCAGACACTGACGATGCGTCACAATCAGCAGCATCTTGATGAGCTTTTGGTGGGGTAACAATCAGGTTTGATTTAAACAACAATGGGAGGAAGATTATCATCACAACCCCCCAAAGTTGTAATTAAATTAATGAGATGTTTTGCAAATCAGCACTTCTTATTAATTTAATTTGAGTGCCACCGGTCTATTACTGCTAATCACTGGTGTGTCAAAGGAATACACATCAAGTGTGCATGACAAACAGCGCGAAATGAAAATAATTACCCGCGGCTGGGAATTAACCAAAGGGGCCACGACTTCCCCAGGAGAAACAAACGTTTTGAAGCCAAATGACCTCGTTAGCATTTCCAGTGCGCTGACCTTTGAAAGAATAGAATAAAAAGTTGATGTGAAAATAAGAGCATATTTGGAGGCTTGATTAGAGGTTTGGATGTAATTAGCACTTGAGCCTCCGCTGCCTTGGCTGCCCGTCCTTGGTGTCTGCCAGCATGTGTTCACGGTTACTAGCATCACGACAGCTTCTGGCTGCAAGTGAAAGGCCTGGTCTGGACCAGCTGTATGACTGTACCTGCTATAAATAAGAATGATTCCTTGGGAAACTGCGAGGTGAAATTGAGTTTTTATTAGTGTGATGATCTCTGGGAACTGAAATGTGTACACGTGAAATGAGTCTTCTGGTTTCTGATAACAGCTCGTTAAATTAATAAACTTGCTGATATCTGCTGACACATCATAAATCAGTCAAAGCTTTGATTAGACTCGCAACTTACTGCATGAGCCAGATGATAACGATATGCTTAGATATATATATACTGTATATATGACTAGTCACTTTTTCCCATAAGTCCATAAAAGAGTCTTACCTCTTCAAATCCAAGTATATCAAGAGATGCACGTGGTCTTGCAGGTGTACCTTTTATGATGACATGGATCATTTGGCTAATGCTAATGTAGCTAACACTGATTGATGGCTAAATAGTGGCAGTTAGTATAGCCTTATAAACCTTGAATGGGCCTGAAGTGAGCATAAACACACAGTCATGAAGTACATATTGTGCAGTATTCAGCATGACCACTCACTTTCTGGATGCTGAACAGCCAAAGCTAATGCTTTCTACTGGCACTGTGATGATATTCAATGTGAAAACACTAGCTTTAGTAATAACTGCCATACTGAGGTGTCAACACAATAAAACACACACACCTGAGCCGTAACACCAGCATGTAGGTGCCTTACTGAAGGATATTGTGCAGCTGCACATGCCAAAGAGTGCTAAATAAGTAATAAACAGTTACACAGAGAGAGAGAGGGAGAGAGAGAGAGAGAGAGAGGGAGGGAGGGAGGGAGGGAGGGGAGGTAGAGGAAGAGACAGATGAGAGTTATGCAGCTGTTCCCAGATGTGGAATACTAAGCAGTTGACCCTACGAATCTTGCATTCCATGATGTTTGGTATCAACTGGGGACTTTAGCATTAATGGAAAAGGTGGGAAAGAAATTAAGAAAGAAAAAAAGGAAAGAAAGATAAAGATGGAAGGAAGAAAATAAGGAATGTAGGAAGGAAGGAAGGAAGTTGAAAAGAATAAGGGAGAGAAAAAAGAAAGCATGGAAGGAAGGAAGAAATGAAGGAGAAAGAAAGAAAGAAAGAAAGAAAACGGAACATGGGTGGAAAGAAGAAAGAAAGAAGGAAAGAAAAAAGATTTAAAATTAAAAGGAAGGTATGATGTTGGAAGAAATAAGAAGAGAAAAAAGAAAGCATGGACAGAAGGAACAAGAAAGGGAGAAAGAAAGAAAGAAAGAAAGAAAGAAAGAAAGAAAGAAAGAAAGCGAAATGAAGGAATGGAAGGAAGAAAGAAAGAAAGAAAGAAAGAAAGAAAGAAAGAAAGAAAGAAAGAAAGAAAGAAGGTGGGTGGAAGGAAGGAAAGAAAGAAAGAAAAATAAACAAAAGAAAGAAAGACAACCAAAACTGACAAGCATAAACAAACAACCAAGAAAGGATGGACGAAAAGGAGGGAAAGAAGGGAAAGAAGGAAGGAAGAAAGAAAGAATTAAAGAAAGGAAGGAACAAACAAAGAAACAAACAAAGAAACAAACAAACAAAGAGAAAACATGTGCCCCATTCAGGCCTCCTAACTGGCCTTAGAGACACTTTCCTCAGATTTTGACCGACAGTACTTCTTAACTAGTT